TTATTATTATTATTATTATTATTATTCGTAATATAAAATTATTATATATTATTATTATAGTACAAATATGAGATTGTATATTTGAGGATGACTTAAATGAATTAATTTGTACAAGTTATACTGACAACATACATAGACATTTCGGTAGCTTACTCATCAGAACTTCACAGTTAAGCGTGCTTGACCTGGAGTAGTACTGGGACGGGTGACCTTCTGGGAAGTCTCCAAGAAATTGCACAAGTAAGGATAAAACACACTAAACAGTGAAATATTGTGAAATAGAACCCTTGAGAGGCCAAATATGAGAGTTGTTACATTAATAAATTTATTAAAATTAAAAAAAAATTATAATTTCTGACGGATTTTTTATTCCGTCGGAAATTTTGACAGCAATTTCTGACGGATTTTTCCATCGGATATTTCTGACGGATATTACCGTCGGAAATTTCTGACGAAATTTTCCGACGAAATTTTTCTTCGGAAAATTTCGTCGGAAAAATTATTTCCGACTGATTTTTTTTTCGACGTCACTTTTTCCGACGGATTGAAATCCGTCAGAAATCCGTCGGAAAAACAAAATCCGTCAGAAATTTACCTATTTCTGTCGGAAATTTCCGTCGAAAATCAGCAGATTTAAACTTATATAATTAAATATTATGTGTTTTTTAATTTTTTTAAAAAAATTAAAGATTTGATTTATAAATTAACAACTTTTAATCAATAATTGGATTTGAATTTATATAATGAACTATAATGTGATTTTCAATTATTTTAAAAACTTGTAGATTTGATATATATATTAAAAACTTTTAATTCAATAGTTTGATCGTTGAAATTTTGTATAAAATATAAATTATTGAGTGGAGTAAGTCTATAATAAAATAACTGTTAAAAATAATTATTAGTTATTAATATGAAATTTGCTTCATATGTACCCTTATATATTAGAAATGGATAATTGGATCAACTAAAAATGAAATTTATGTCCAATATTCAGCCAATAAATTTGTTGTCATTTTTGTGTGTACTTGATGTACCAAAACAGTAACGTCAACAACGAATATATTTCACGTTATACACTGATATAAATCGAGTGATTTCAAAACGAGTTGAAAAGTCACGCTTTAAACCACAAAATAGGCTGAATATCACACACACAAAAAAAAAAAAAAAAAAAGGAAGAAGAAGAAATCATGTATATTGGGAGATATGATTTGAGGGAAGATGGGAAAAAGTTGGAGATTTGAAGATTAGGATTTGATTCAAATGGAACTTGTGAGCGAAAATAAACAAAGAAATTCGAATTGGAAGTCATCACAATCCACGAATTGATAAGCCAATGAACGCTATTTGGATAAGCACCCTTGATAAGTTTAGAGATTTGTAGAAGACCTAGAATTTGTCTCACTTAGCTTACTGATAATCTGAAATATGATTTCTAAAAGCTTTGGTGTGTCTTTTATAGTGGCAACAGCCTTGCAAATTGTTTTGACTAAAACTTAGTGATAATGAGTATCTATAGCGGATCTTGAAAAAAATATTTTGAGGGGCATAAAATTTAAATACATATAATTTAAATAATTTATAATATAGCATATTAAAAAATATATATACTATTTAAAAGGAAAAGGAAAAATCTGGGAGGGCCAGCCCCACGCTCTTTATAATGATTATTCAGCCCGAATAAAACATAACACTGAAAAACAAAATTAAGGCAGATGATTAACACACCTCCACTCTCGTATAAACACACCCCCTTTTTAAAAAAATTATATAAAATATCTAAATTACCCTTAAAAATTTTTTTCATCTCTATTTTATTTATGAGACATGATTTGCTATTATTATTTTGATTAGTGATGTATATGTAACTTTTATGAAATGTATTTTATTAATAATTATGCTTATTTTATTTTATTAAAGGAAAGACATGTATTTTAATTATATTGTATTAATTATTTTATGAGAAGGGAAAGGAAGGACGTGATAGTCATTTGTTTATTATTATTAATATTATTATTATTATTATTTTATTATTTTAAGAAGGGAGTTATCAGGAATGATATCATAGTCATTTATTTATTACTATTGTTTATTACTGTCGCCACCCGCCGGACCTTGGCATTCGCGACGATGGTCGGACTCTTTTTAAGTTTTGAAAGATGATGGATTGTTAGAACGACTTATTCTCAAACTGAGACCTCGTCGAGCTAACAATTTTGTTTAAATGGCTCTCACCAATCCATGTTAATCCCAAGCGGGACCCTCCATGGATTAGTGGTTTTCGCAAAAAGAAGGGGTTCTTGGAGTCGCCACCAATGTTTTACTCAAAACATTGGAAAAAGATATAAGGCAATTGATTTTCACAAATCAACTTTGGCCATTACAACCAGAGTCGGGTAAGGGAGTCGGTTACGTGCGAGGAAGGTGTTAGCACCCCACAACGCCCCTTTCGGGTTCCCTATGACGGATTATTTCATAAATAATAGTGTAAAGTTACTAAATTACCCCTATTTATTAGAAACGATTATGAGTAAAATATTTACATGATGAAAACTTTAAACATGCAATGCAACAATCAAAAAGCAATAAATAAAAGCGGTAAAAGAAGGGATTTGGAAAGAAACCTTCGAAGCGGGCTTTTATATATTCAAAACGAAGTTTAGGAGGCTTTTTGGCGCTCCTTCCCACTACACGT